GAAACTCAAAGAACAACTCATTGAATCAGTTTTAAATAATTTATAGCAATMTACAAATTTTTAAGGTAAAACTTTTACGATATATTTAATATATCTGTGCTTGGACAACAAATTTTTAAATAAAGCTGAGATTGATTGTTTTTATTTTGGTTGATTGAACTAATGAACCTTGGTATGCCCTTTTAAAAAAATAAATACAGTCAAATTTGTTTGAATTGACTTTGTAATAGTGAATTGTATAATAAGAGAAAATAAATTAGCTGTAAAAACGTTTTTTGTGGTATTTACATGGATCTTGTTAAATGATTCAAAAATAAATCATATTGAGTCAATCTGGTAAAAAAAAAATTATTAGTTTTGTCACCAAAATATTGTGCTGATTAATCCACAAATGAAAGTTTGAAACAAAATGAAACCCTAAATCTGAATGAATTGAAAAAAAAWTTGTTTAATGCATTTTTTATTTTATTCATCAAGTCAGTTTTTAAGTGTTAAAAGAATTAATAAATAATTTAATTAAATACTTAATTTTAATTTAATAAATCTGAACTAAACTGAGCTATAAGACAAAGTTTCACTTCAGATATATTGCAGAAGTGTGTGTGCTCCAGCCTGATGATGAGTGTCACAGGACAACATTTGAGCTGATGGTGTGAGGAAGAGGAGGAGGGGCGGCTGCTCCCTCTTCACTTCATGGTTCCCTTTAAAGCTACAGAAACAGGAAGTAAGACCACAGGACTCCAGATTTAGATGAGTCCTGCAATGAAAACGTAGCGAATTGGGACTTTTGAAGTGAGGCTGGGGATAAATTAACCCTAAAACACAGGAAACGTGACAGATATAAACACTTTCATCTCACAGGTTATTTTGTGTGGACACAGCGAGTCTCCYTGCAGAACGTGTGGTGGTCTGGGTGGGAAAAATATTTTCTAAGAACCCCTCAAGGTGTTTCATAGTGGCACTACTAAATTTTCAGGAAGGCCTGCTTTTAGGGAGCCGTTACCATAATTCACAGTAAGTGCTGTGTACTTGCAGCAAATTACTTTTTAGTATGCAGAGCTCGCCTGGCGTGGAGGTATTTGACGACCGCTCGTGATTTTCCTGCTGTGAGTGGGAGTCGGGTCATAAACTGCAGACTCAAACATCACGTTCCTCCAAACTTACTTTAGTTTTTTTTTTTTTTCAGAAAGAAGCCAAGAAGGCGTCAGATTCTGCTTCTTCCTGAGAAAAACAAAAAATAATATGAGCAGAAATCAGTTTTCTGATTTTTAATTCTTGTATATCTCTCTCTGAGGCACAGACACTGATACTGTCTATCCATCCATCCATGCAGATGTACTCCTCCGTTGAATCATCACCTTATCGTGGTGGAGGAGTTTCTGCGCCTGGATGATCCTAGGAGCTATGCTGTCAGGGGTCTCCCATGGCAGATTGGTCCTAGGTGACAGGCCAGACAAAGAATGGTTCACCTGACTCACATGAACTAGGGCTGCTACGATTAGCCGATTAATCGACCACTAATCGATTATTAAAATAATCGATGACTAATTTAATAATCGATTAATCGTTTTCATTTTTTTGTTCTTTACTTTGTTTTTCTTTCCAAACTGCTTTGACACCTTCCACTGCCACATCTGCCTTTCTGTCCTTGACACACGTGCACAGCAGTGGTAACTGGGGTAGGCCGTGGACGTCACAAGACATTATACAGACAGGCTCTGGTATCATGGCTACCTGACAACGGAGCTCAAA